GATTATAGTTAACAATTTACTAAATATAGTTATCAATTTACCATCTAAAGTTAACATGTTATCAGTATAATTTAACAAGCAAACTGTAAAAGTTAACATGTTATAAGTGTAACTTAACAAGTGAACTGTGAAAGTTAACATGGTATCGGTGTAACTTAACAAGCGAACAAAAAAAGTTAACATGTTATCAATGTAACTTAACAAGCGAACAAAGAAAGTTAACATGTTTTCGATAACATAACAGATAACATATCTTCTTTATATACTTGTACAATAATGACTGATCCAATCAGTACAAATACTAAACATACATTGAGCAAATCTACACTTTGCACGTTCATAAACATTTCACATAGTCCAGAGGAGGAGAAACTAATAAACTCTTCACTCTCAATTTATCAATTTCTTCTAATAAAACTTATTTATATATCAGTAATAAACACAATCTCCACCGACACGTCACTACGCGCCTAGCGCTTCAACGCTCTCTTTGGTCAGCAATCGTGACCCCAACCTGAAATTAACCTTCGTCGACGTCGCTGAGAACGGCGACGGAGTCGTCGACAATATCATCGGCCATAGAATTGAGAGGAGAGTTTTTTTCTTTTCCTTCAGCCAGCTGACCACAGTTCTCTTCTTCCTTCAACTGAGAAATAAGACAGAGCAAACAATCCAAATCAAACCCAAAAAGGGAAAAAAGAAGAAAATGTAATGATATAGTTAATTACCAGTCACTCTTCTTTCCTTTTTGATTTCCGTCTTTGCTTTGTTTCTCGTCATAGTTAATATTTTATCAATAACAGTTAACATGATAATGGTGTTAGTTAACAGGATAATGGTATTAGTTAATAGATTACAAATAATAGTTAACATATAATAGATTATAGTTAACAATTTACTGAATATAGTTATCAATTTACCATCCAAAGTTAACATGATATCAGTGTAACTTAACAAGCGAACTGCGAAAGTTAATATGTTATCAGTGCAACTTAACAAGAGAACAAAGAAAGTTAACAATCCGATATGTTATCAGTGTAACTTTTACAAATAACAACATCCCAACCCCTTTTCCTCCCAAAATATGTACACATCCTAACTATTTATATACAAATCATAACTATTCAAAACTATAAAATTAGCCCAATATTTTAACACTCAAGAACACTGATGAAATGTTCCTCCTGAAGCTAACACAGAGAATAAGAACTATGCATGCAATGATTTCAGCCTACCATAACTAACACTGTGATCGATATTAATACTTGGATAACAATAATGAAAGCTTCACCTTAATCAACATAAAACCACCACATGAGAAACAATAAAGAAAGCTTCACCCACAATCAACATAAAACCACCACATGCAAGCATCCAGAACTATAGGAAAACAAAAATCTCACAGACTCATTCCCCTACAGGATCAAAGTTGCAAACACAATAAGTACATTACCAATCCGCATAATACATGGCTAAAGTTCCTCGACAATATGACAAAAAGGAAAATTTTAATCAAGAATGAAGAAACAACTTAAATTTCAAGCATCAAACAATCTCAAGTTTTGTAAAATTCATCCTCAATACTTCTTCAGGACTGCAGTTCTTCTCAGAGTAATAAAAAAACTTATCGTTCTCCAGAGGAAATAACCCACCTCCTAAACACCGGCGACATCACCACCCCACCAGCACTGTCCTTCTTTGGGGGCTGCCCACGCGGTCGCGACAGCGCTCCTGGCTCCTTGGGCTTCGGCGGCCTACCACGTGGCCGCGGAGACGATGGCTCCTTACGATCACCACTTTCATATAGCTTGCATTGATATGTGGTTTGGGTCTCACAATTCGTGCCGCTCTGTCGATCAGTTGTCGAGGTCGACGAATCAGCAGAATCACTGATAGCGGCGAGGGGACAAAGATGTGATCCCTCTACGGGGTCTTCGTCGGAGAATCGAGAGGTTAGGATTGATATTGGGAGGGGAGAGGAGGAGGTACGGTTACGGTTAGGGTTTGGTCGGATATTGGGGATCAAGAAATTTTTGTTTGGGGATTTGAGAATGAATAGGGGAGAAGGGGATATTGAAAGAGGAGAGGTGGTTGGCGGAGCTCCGGCGGCGGTGGTGGTGGCGGTGGTGTAAAGAGAGGAGGAAGAAGAGGTGTGATTTTGAGGGAGATGACAGCGTTTTTATGGAGGGGTAAAATTGGATTTTTAGGAAAACATGAGCTGGAGTCATGATGGAGGGGCTTGTGCAATTTTTTTTTTCAAAATTTTGGGACCGCAGCACATTACAAATAATGTGAGGGACTGGGGCACATGATTTTTTGATTTTTGGGGCCTTGAAGCAATTTTTCCCTCCTTGAATTAAAATAGAATCAGTTCTCTCACAATTGTGACAAATTAGCGCATGATTTGAAAGGAATGCCAACATCCTCAGAGCTTAGGAAAACACAAATGAGTTTTGTCAAATAACAGATTGTGTAGGGCGTTAGATGAAAAAATAATTCGTATACTGCCCCGAGCATACGGACGGTACAGATTTCTGGTTAGTTTGAACGGGAGGCATGTATATGGATAAATAACAAAAGAAGAGTGAGAGTATAATGTAATCTTTATTTTCTACTTTCCCGCCAAATTTGGAGAAAATGTAGAGTGGGCCCCCACAGGGGATGTGGGCCAGGGGAGAGAGGCGGCTCTACCTCGATCGCGGTAGCGAAAGCGACACGTCGAACTTCGTGCACGGGAAATATCGCTCCGATAAACCGTAGTCATTTTGTATTTTCAGAAATTTCTTCTTTTCTTTTCTTAAAATTTTTGTGTTCCCGAGTCTGAATGGTTACTGGGTGTTTGGTCGCCCAAAAAACCAAGGAAAATGTTGTAGAAAACCTATTTACTACAACACTTTTTTTTTTCCTTGTTTGAATTCACACATAATTGAAAGATGACATGACACCTTCCTATTGGTTCATGTGAACTAAAATTAAAGAAATTCATTTCATGAATTTTTGTATGAATTTCTTTAATTTCCATCAAACTATTTTTTGTATGGATTTCACTATATAGCATCATGATTTTAAAGTTATTTTGAAAATTCAACCTTCCAAATTAAATTTGACGGTGTTATGTACAAAACAAATTGAGATACAACAGTTTATAATTTAGCCTTACTGATTTTTATGGGAATTTGGTATTATGACTTAGGGAGATGATTATAGGTTGAATTACAAGATCGGTATTATTTATGAAGATAGGTCTTCCGACATGGTATTTTTCTTTTCTCTTGCAATATTAGAATATATGTATTGAATATCTGCTAAAATAAGGCATGATTGTTCGCCAACAACGTAGAATCTGGCTCAAAAATATCACATGACCATCACGTCACCTTATGCGAACCCTTTTAAGTGCTTATGTAGCAGTGACTTAATAATATGACAAGTATAAATGATGACTAATAATCTAAAATTTGCTAGATCTGTGCAAAATTTGTACATTCTGAAGATTTTTTAGTTTACACTGAATATAAATACACAAGAAGATCATGTGATGGTCACATGATGCATACACATCAGATTCTGGCAACCATGATACATGCCTTATTATAGGCAACCATGATACATGCCTTATTATAAGCAAAAATTCAGCAATAATAACTAAAATGTTGTTGGAGAATATACAAATGCCATATTCCGAAATCATATCTAATTAAAAATAGCAATCTCGATGAATGTATGACTTATGTATAAAATAAATAAAGAATGTTTAAAGGATAGCCTAAAATTTTTCTAAAACATAGGAGAAGCAAATTGAACGTCCTTCTTATGGATGAAATATGGATTCACTCAACGACATCAATTTCTTTTAGATCCGCTTTAAATTTGGGACAAGGAGAATTAAACGTGCGCCGCTCCAATACCATGACGAAAGACCTTACCATTGCATCAAAACTCTAAAGTTACAGTGAAGATTGAGAGTTACAGTTTTATATTCCAATACATTGGATAAGTTTTTCCACGTAAGAGTACAATGATCATTTCAGATATTGTTTTAAGAATATTTAACTAAGTTAAAAATGCTATATGTAGCATCTCCACTTTCTAGTTAGTTCTCGATCACTTTCACACATTGGACAAGTTTTTCTAGGTAAGAGCAGAATGACTTACTAGATCAGCTTGAATATTTAGGTAAGTTAGGTTCACCCTAGTAAGTTTGAAGGAATCTCACTCTCATTATCTTTTAGCCTTTACCTTCACTATTATTATATACATGTTCTTCATACAACCAAGTGCACGTTAAACTTTTTCTCTTTTGTCAAAACTCCTAAACTAGCCGCATGCACATGTTCTTTTTAACCAAGGAAAGGTGTGCTCTAAAGTTCAAAAGCTAGAGTTTATTAGTAATTAACATTATCAAAAAAGAGACCAAAGATATAAACTTAGAATAACTCATGATGAGAGCGCATATGCTTGCGCTTCATGTTCTCCAATTCATTGGAATGGACGGCCATGATTGAGCATCTCGGAATAAAAAAATGGAAAGGGGATGTTTGACTGTGATTATGCTCCAAATCCAATTGGCAATAGAATTTAGGAATCTAACGCTCGTATGATAGGTATTCTTTGCTTCACTTGCATGGTTGATTTGATAACCATTTTCAAAGCTTTCACACGCAGCGCTTTACAAGTTTAAATCATTTCCAAGCTATGTAACTTTGTGAGTTATTTGCAATTGCACCCCTTTCTAACAGAGAGTTTAAGCGTTCAAAAACTTTTGGAATACAAAGTTATTTGCAATTGCACCCTTTTTAATGGATAATTTAAGCGTTCAATTTTTTTTGGGATGCAAGGTTTAAATCCCATCGCACGCATATTTAAAAGAACATCAACAGAAGACTATACCGTTGCGAATGCGCAAATCAATTCAAAATTATATTTTCGCTGCAAGAGATCCTTTGGTATGTAAAGATGAATAGGGATCTATCATAACTGAAAGATGACAATAAAGCGAATAAAATGACAAATTTACCATCCACTCATCCTTCATCTAAAATTTTTACCATTCAGTGTACATATATTTACAAACTTTCTCACCAACAAGTTGCTAATCAAGCTTAAACCACGCTCAAAAAAGTTACAAAGACTGACTAAAATACTAGGCAAATGTACAGAGCTCACCATACACGGAAACAAAACCAAACTGGACCTAAATAAAAAGACAACCTTAGATTACAACAAAAACCCAAAATGAAATGCCAGCTTGAACTCTTCAAATGGTTGAAGCTTGATGGATCTATGACGGCTCAGACTAAACACTTCACGGACCATAGCTTTAAAGCTATCAACTTTCATTCTCTTGAAGATGCTATCCATTCATAAACCTCAGGAAATTGTACTTCTCCAAGAACCATCCCTTTCTCCTCCTCCCCTAATACAAATTGGGGTGCTATCTGCTTTCTAGAAGAACAAGTATCTCTTCATCATCGATGGGTCCACTATCCATTGCATACTGTAACGGGGTTTTACCGTCCTTGTCAACGACGTGTGGGTCCGCTCCCCTGCATTAAAGGACTTGAACAAGTTAAATTTATCTCTGCACAATTAGTTTAGCTATAAACAAAGACATATAAAGGTAAGATCACGATTCGTAATTAAATTGGACAATCTGCTTCTCTATTATGTTATACATGATCTATAAATGAAAAACCATTTTAAAGGCTGTTTTTTCCTCCATGCATCAATTGGTTGCAAAATGAATAGTTCTTAAATAATACAACTAAATCTTCAGTTGTGATTCATGAGTTAAATAACTCCAGCGGTTGATTCAATTACATTCATCATACTCTACATGAATCTACCACCTCATGATCATGAAATTTCTTTAGTTATATTAACGAAAAACCTCCATTTTGCCACCATTCTAGCATGGGTAAGGGGTCAAATGCATGATTTTTTGTTTATACAACCCAGTCTATTTATTCACAGTGAATATTGTGTATTCAACATATTTTTTTACAAACTGTGCACTTTAGTATTCATATCACTTTTGTAGTAGGTCTTAAGGTTTCCCTCTGAGTGGGGAATTGCAACCAGCTTGTTAGGCTCGTCCAGGCAAGTCATTTTTTCTTTTGGCATGCATGTGTCATTCTTCTTGTTGTTTTTCGTGATCGTCATCATTAATGACAATTGATTTGGACAACACCAATATCTAAGCTCAAATGAATTATGAAAAAATCAAAGAAGAATACAGACTCGACACTCCTTTCAAATTATCATCTTTTAGCATTGAATTATCGAGTTCAAAACTAATTATTATCACACAGAGACATCTACAACGTCAAGCACACATGATCAATACAATTTCTTACGAGGTACATTCATGCACATTTTAGTTTAATATTCTAGAAATAACCCCCCCCCCCCCCCCCACACACACACACACACTCATACATGCACATAACCGCATGTACTCACACACCCACACACACCCACACACACGCACACAGAGGGAAGGTCTCTTGCTTCTCATATGAACATGTTAGTCCATTGGCAATTATGTGTACAAGGTGTCTCTCACATGTGTGGGAAAATCTAGAATATATTACCAGGAAGCGAAAAGACAGTTTCAGAAAATAAAAGATCAAAATGTAAATTTGAGCAAATTTTAAAATGAAATTGGCTAACTAGTGAACCAGTCAAGTTTGGCAGTACATTGATAGAAATATTCTCTAGATAAGTAGAAAACAATATGTATCACTTAAAAATTACCTGGAAAGTAGCAGTTTAGCAAAAGTTTTTTTGTCACTGAGGACACAATGATGAAGTGGTGTCCTGCCCTTGAGATCAGCAGCATTTACATTGGCGCCATACTGTAAGAGGAGCTCTACCATGCCAATATCTGCAGTTTGGCAAGCTAGGTGAAGTAGAGAGCAGCCCTCAAAACATGCATCCATTTTATTTCTTTCCTCGATTGGTATCGCCGTGCTACAAGAGCTCAAGGCAGGAGCCTTAAGTTGGGAATCCCCAACTATGCAGCTAGCACTCCGATCCAACATTGTGGTTGACTGCTCTTGAAGAAGCATTGCTTTTGCAAGAGTTAATGAAGAATTAAATGATGTTTGCTCGTATACTGAATTTACATCAGCATTTTCAATGACTATGCGCTGATACACGGCTTTCTTGTTATTAGTACGGACACTATCCCATATTTGCTGGGTCGTCAATAATAGATCGGAATCTTCCTTTGATTTATTAACAAAGACCTTCTCTGCATACTGGAAGAATAGAGAACATAAATCAGAATCACATTCTAAGAACACGTGCAGTTGCCGTGCAGTTGCTAGGAGAG